GAATGAGTTATTTACTGTCCAGACCTTTGACATTAAGTATATATACACTTTCATACCCTAGGTGCCACATTGATCTTTTTTACATTCACTGCAAATAAAAACTATATCAGAGTAACCATCAGGAGTATTATGAGCCATTTGATGAGTAGCAAGAGCAGTATCAAAATTAAGGAGAGTTGGGTCATCAAAATCTAGAAAACAAAAGTTACACTCTTGTTCATTTCCTTGGGCTATTTCCAGAATTCTATATTCTAATCTCATATTGGCTTGTTCTTTTGAACAATAAAAGTCTGGAAATTTCTCTTTAGTTTTTTCTTTACTTTATTTACAAATTTTTTGAGTTTGCATAATCTATTTTCCTTTTGTTTCTTTGGTAAAGATGGTAATTCTTTGGTGCTAAATAATCTTTTCAGTTTATTTCCTGATTTTTAGCAGTCAAATTATTTTCTAATAAATCTATTTGGTATTGGAGTTTACCAATTGCAGCATCATGCTTCAACAAAGTTTCAAACATTTGCCATTTTCTCCATTCCATGGCTTTATTTAGTGCTTTTTCAGCCTCTTCTCATTCCATTCTCTTGCATTTAGCCCATAATATGAATGTGGCTTTATTTTACCTAAAGATCTTACAATTAAAGTGTGACGTTTTGTCATTTTAAATTTATGTAATTAAAAACTGATTCAGGGTTCTGACTGTTAATTAGTTTCTTATGGTAATTAATATAATGAAAAGTAATTTGTATTTTTGTAAATTTGTATAGATCGGTATGTATTAGATTGTGATATATATATATTTTGTTGTTGTTTGTATATGTTTTATATGCCATTTGTAAAAAATATACTGCTTCTTTTACATGACAAAATAACTTAATACCCATTTCGTTGGAATTCTAGAATCCCTATGAATGTTTGATGTGCCTACCCTTTAAACAAAAATAACAAAATCACGTGATATTGCTTATTAAATACTTGTCGCGTCACTATTTCTTGTCAAAACTCTTTTTTTTTTTTTGAAATTGTTTCCATATTTTAATCAGATCTGCAATTTTTTCTTTGGCAAATTTAGCAAAGGATTCATTTGTAGATAGGAGCAGGACGATGAATTTCTGCAGTTCTGCCTATTTTTTTTGCAATTCCACTATTTTTTTTTTTTATTTAATCAAAAGTAGCCAAAACAAATAATTATTATTCGATTTGCTAGTAGGAAAAAAAACTAGATATACCACTATTATTATTATTATCACTACAAGGGGAAAAGACAATTACTACAACTATTATTATTAATTGGCCAAAGAAAAGATGTCAATTACTTCTGCTACTACTATTATTATTACCATTACAAGGACTACGAAGGAAAAAAATTTAAATTAGATTGGATTATTATTATTATTATTATTATTATTATTATTATTATATTATTCGTTTTATTCGAATAGAAACCCTAGCCTATTTCTATAAAGCCAACAGATTAGACATTATGAACAAATTCAATGAAATACCTGTAAAAACGAAATACGTAATAAATAATATTGATAAATTTTTTTTAATAACAGTGAGTGAATCTTGATTCAATGGATATGTTCGTTCCAAGAAATTTGTCTGCTAAATTGAAATATCAAAGAACAATTATTTATTGTTATAAATAACATAATGAACGAATACAAGTAATCATAATAATATGTTCTGATACAGTTGATTATATAAAAATAAAAAATAAAAAATGCATTCATTCACTTAAAATGTCAACATTATAATGATCTTTTATACTTGTTTATATTTGTTCTTGAGAAATTTTATAATAAATCTCACTTTTCAACTTCTTGACGTTTCTAATTACTTATCTTTATAATTAAAATACGTTATTATCATACATTCACACATTATTATAAATTATTTACTTATCTTTATAATTATCATTAGAATGTATATAATATAACGTGTTATTATGCGCCATTTAATCTTATTATTATAAAATCACTAGCAAAAAAGAGCAAGGATCATATTAATATTAACATGAAAAATCAGTTTAAATCGGGATAAAATAATTATAGGAAAATTTGATTTCGAAAATTTATCCGTTAAACACCAAGTCCGCTAAGAAAAGTCTGAAATAAAAAACGCGCAAATTTTTTAGCCTACGATGTAAATTATGTTACACTTGTCATATGCGTGTCTGTTACAAAATAGAAAGATATTCAGGACCAATTTGGATATAATCTTCACGTTTCTGCTTTTGATACATACTTCTGCGGTTTTCTGCTTAACGCCAAAGTTCATTCATATAAATGACTTTTTATAACCTTGTGATCTATGAAAACCTGTTTACTTTTTTTTTTCCACAGCCACAAATTAATTTTAAAATTTAAAAAAGCCCAAAGTCTTTGCTTGGCGTGCATAAATAATTAACACGTGGTTGTATTCGCCGATTATTCGCCGATTATTATTATTACCCGATTGATTAATCAGGTGTTGAAATTTTTTTCTGGATAATTGACGAGTAATCGGTGGCACAGAATAAGAATATAATAATAATAATTTTTACCCACATTAAGAAATTTTTTTTTTATTGTTAACGAATGAAATTTTTTTAATACATGTAAATAATAGATAACATAATATTTTATCTCCACAGATTCGAATTGAATATTTGGCTGTAAGTCCTCGGGTGAATCGAATCGAGTCGAATTTTAAAGTGATTCGAATCAAACCGAATAAGAAAAACAGTTTTTTTAACAATTTTAATTAAACCAATTGTGAAAATTAACAATAAACATATTTTCGGATCTTCTGAACATTTTTTTTTTTTTTTTTAATGGCAAGAAATCATGTTTTGGATTAGTTTTCAAGTTTTTTTTTTTTTAATGAAAAGTTCAACGATTTTAAGTCGTCAACAAATGCGCCTAATAGTCTCAGCTCGGGATCTACATTTATCAGGTGATTGATTCTTGATTCAAGTGGCTGCTGATACACGAGATCATGGCTGTGGACCATTAACCATCATCCATCATTTATTGTTGTTATTATCAATCAACTTATTCGTTACGAAATCATTGGTGAACATGTATCTCCTACACAACTACATGTTTATTTTTACACCGTGCGTCTTTTTTTACACTGCGAGGACGCGTTTAAATAATATTACCAATAAACGCACAAATTTGAAACAAGTATTATAAAAAAAAATGATCTTTTTAAAACAGAATATAGAAAATGTGAATGGCTTTAATAATAAATTTTTCGCATACAAGACCTGGGATTATCACGATTGAGATAACATCCGATTTTGGTAAAGTTTCTTGCTAAAGTTATATATATGAAAATTAAAGACCTTTAATAAGTGGTATGACTATTTTGGGTATAGCAGAAACCTTTTATCATAATTTATTACTAATTTATTTTTTATCAGATGATGGGATGAAAAATCAACTGGGGAAGAGTTGGGAAAAGTATAAGAGGGATTACACGTTAGTGGATGAGTTACGGCTCACTCGTTAAGTGATGTTTTTTTATTCGTTTTTTATTCGATTTTGTTCGGTTTTATTCGTTTATTCGAATTATTCATTTTATTTGTTTATTCAAATTATTCATTTTATTCGTTTATTCGTTTATAAAATATTAATTCACATCTTGATGCAATAAATTCTATATTAATATTAATATTATTGTTAAGGGATTTGTAAATAAGATAAGTAGAAAATAAACGGAAAATAAGTAGAAAATCATGCTTATTTTCTATTTAAATTTGCAAGAAACAAGAATGTTTTAAGTGTTTCCCCATAATAGTCAAAATGTGCTTAAATTACACTTGAAATATGTTTAAAACATACTTATTCCATGCTCAAAACATTAATTAAATTCTATTTAAATTAAGTGTGTTTTAGTGGTATAATAAGTATGTTTTAAGTACGCAGACTTTGCATACACTTGACTCAATTGGGTGACTTTTTGATGCAATTAATTGAGTCATATGAAAAAAAATATAAGTAATTAAGTCAAGACGCAATTAAAATTGAGATTTTGGGAATTAAGTCAAAGCCAAATTAATTTTGACAACATGTAAAAATTTTCTAAGCTTACACAATTAACAATGCATAAAATCACGTGAAAGTCACAGGCATGCATTTAGGGAGGGTGGTTTTATATAGTTGGGAATGAAAAAAGCCTATGCAATGCAGGTATAGAGGGTGCACTTATTTCTTAAGTCCCAAGCTTGGAAATGAGTGAAAGTGTGCATTTATGCCCTATAAAAAATTATTGACTAAAAATGTACGGGAAAACAGTAGATGAACTATACATGGGATGGTAATTATTTTGCCAAAACGTAATACGTAATACGTAATACGTAATTACGAAATTAATTACGAAATTAATTACGGGTGACGAAATCAATTACGAATGACGAAATTAAATGGCACCTATTATTTATCTTGTTATACTAGTTTAATGACATAATTTGTCAACTTTTTTTAGATTTATTCTGTTAGAACGACGCGTCAGTATAATGGGAGAACCAATCAAAATCATTCTCATTTCTGAAAAAACACAAGGAAATAAAACTTACGCCGGGATCAAGATTGACCGGCATCATGGAAAATTCTGATAACACTTCTGTATAATGCTGGTCAATTTTTATCCGGCGTAGGTTTTAAATTTCCTGATAAAACATGAATGAAATAAAAAAAAAATTATAAAATCACATGATAATGACTTCTATATGAACTCCCGTTATAATGACATTCTCGTCATACTGACATTTTTTGTTTGTGCGGAGAGTGTTGTTATAACGGGAGTGACTTGTATTATGATATTTCCAATGATTAATTCGTTGTTATTCATAATTAATTTCGTCGCCCGCAATACGGTAATTAATTTCGTAATTATGTTTTTAAAGAGGAAAATGGTAATTAACTATGATAATTACGTACTCACGGTAATTATGCAATTGCCATCCCATGTATAGCGTTAATAACGGTTTGCATAGAAAATTTTCACAATAGTAATTAATTTGTCGCCCGTAATTAATTTCGTCATCCGTATTTAGTTTCGTCACCCGTAATTAGTTTAAGTGGTGGGTGTGCAATCAGAAAAAATTGCTACACAACTAACTATACATGAAGTCGAAATTAAAGCCCCAAAGTCAAAATGTTTCGATTTGAGGCAACTACATAGTAAAAATCAGTTTCAACATTATTTCGGCCCTATTTCAACCAGATCTGCAAACGGTCAAAATAGTTTTGACTTCATGTACATATGCACCATTACCATAGAAATCATTTGAACTTAAAAAAAATGGTTCTTTTTATTTCTCTTTTAATTGTAAATACAATACATTTTTGTCATTTTTATTAATGAGGTGTGGGATGGGATTTTAAGGATTTGAGTATGGGTAGTAAGTACAATGTATTAAGAAAACTCAACAATCACATAACATAATTAAATTATCAAATTACTTTGTTAATAAAAAAAAATGGACATGCCAATTTTCTGTAAAGCTAATTCATATCTTTTTTTTGTCTCTGAAATTCTAAACAGAATTTTTTAATAATAAATCATACCAGTTAGTAACAAAAGTTCCAGAGGTTATGTATATAAACCTTCACACTTTCAGATTTTCTAAAATTTTGTCAATTGGAAATAAAAGATATTTGAAAAAAACAATACAACATGTAATAATTGCTCTAAAGCCTACATATGGGGCATACTGCAACAAAACCAGACAAAGTGAACATTATATTTCAGGAATCAAATTTTATAAATTTTTTTTGAATGCATAAATCTTTATGAAACTAAAAATTTACATATTTTAAAGTGGTATGTATACTTCATTTTAAAAATCCAACCTTTAATATTTTATCATTCTAATGATGCTAAATTTTTCCTAAAATATAAAATTACCTATTTTTAAAAAAATGGATAATTTAGAAGTTGATTATCAATTATTATTATTTTTTGTTGTTATAATAGATATAATATTTATATGTAAAATCAATTAATGATTAATAAAATGATTTAATTATCAGTCAATAAAAATGCAAGAACTTGATTCATAACTTATCATACATCATTATCTCTTCTTACAAATGCTGATTTTTTTTCTATTCTTTGGAGTGAAATGAGTTGACCGAATGAATGCAAGTTTTTTATGTGTTGGCTTTGACTTTTTCTTATTGCCAAAGATTTTCTTGTATGGATGGTGTTCTTCAATAGACAACAATTCTACTTTGTGCATAATATTATCCTAACCATTACAAAAGATTAAAATAAGCAATTCAGCTGCCAATCACCTCAAGGGAATATTCAATAATGACAAAATGCTCATTTACCTTAAAAAAATAAATAACCTCCAATGCATGCTGTAATGATTTCAATTGTAATAATTGTGATGGGAAACAAAAAGAAGGACCTCCAACACCAAAATAGAGACCATCATCAACCAAGTCAATGCCAATGAGCTGACCAGATAAAGCTAAAAGTAATGAGGAATAGTGAATACCAATAATAATCAATGTAGTCAAATGAAATATTGAAGAAGGAAACTCACCTGAAAACTGAAATCCAAAAATTATTGAATCATTAGCTCCTTCATCTGATATATTTTGTCTCAATAATTCATTAAGTATGCATTGATTGGTTCTATAACATTACTACGATCTCTTACAGTCTTTGCAGGCATTGCACTTGATGCAGCCGAAGAATGACTTAATTCCACAACTTCCATACCTTGGACTCTGCATTCGATTCTTAAGTCAATTTTTCGGCATTTTGTGCCTTTGATATTGTTTCACACCTATATTTCATACAATCAGATGTTAAAAGGTGATGGATAGGTAAATAGGTATACTGAAATCAACTCATGCTTACCAACGAAGATTGATCATGCTTGAAACATTGGAGAACACAACATCTAGGATAGGTGCCACTACCTTTAGCACATATTCCATCTCTGTAAGCTTTCTCTTTTGACCATCTTCACAAATAAACACATATGGATTTTTGCAAAAAACATGTCTAAACTAACGGTGGAAAACATATGATTTAGCAGATGTAAATGGAATGATTTAAGAAAGCATAATGACACACACACACACACACACACACACACACACACACACACACACACACACACACACACACACATATATATACATCAAAAAGTATATTTTGAGAATTTGTTGGTACTTGACACTGGCTGACTGATTTTTTCATCTTATCCAATATAAGTTCTCGTGCCTCCCAATATTTATATATAGTGCACATCTAAATGCAAAAATAAGTTTAACGATATTGACTTGGAAATGATTTCTTCAAGGCTAAGTGAATCTTTTACCTCTTCAATAGCTTTTATGGTTTCAAGAATAATGCCCTCAAAATGCAATGGTGTGAGATTGAGTTGACCATACACCTTGGTTTTAAGATCATCCCATTCTTCACCAAAGAATGTATGCATTCCAATTTCAAATTCAGATGTGAGATCTACAATGTATGACAATCCAAGACTGTAATTAAGATTGTCAGTAATTTATACCATTAATTCAACAACAATAATATAATAAATGATATGTTGTACCGAATAACATTGTTGTAAAAAGCTTTTGGTCTCTTAGTATTTGTTTTAGAAGCTTCCATTGTCTTCATTGTTCCTTCTGCAAGAATTTCTGTAACTAACTTTCCATTTTTTAATTTCCATTCTGTTTCTTTTTTGGAAATTGTATTAAATACTGATAAATAAGAATTTACATCAGATACATCATCATCACTACTATTTTCTCCATCTCCATCTCCATCATATCCATCTCCACCATCTTCGTCTTCATCCGAGTTGTCAAGATCTAGAAATGTCATCATAAGATTCTGAGAGAAAATGAATGAGTTATTTACTGTCCAGACCTTTGACATTAAGTATATATACACTTTCATACCCTAGGTGCCACATTGATCTTGTTCATTGAATTTTTATGCTAGATTAAATTACAAAGAATGTGTAAATTACATCCATACAACAATTCATTTGATTTACAAAACTGTGTATCACCTTCATAGGATGTTCATTTGATTTTTCCAGAATGTCCCATCTCCTTTTTCCAATTAATTTAGAATGGATTGTTTCTTCCTCAGATTTTCCAATGATATAATAAAACTGGTAGAAATATTTAAATTTAATTAATCCACACAATAAACATTTATAACAATAAACATAATTCAAAAGAACTCACATCAGAAATTGCCACTTGCAAGTTTGTTTTTCAACAAGTTTCAGGGTGTTTTCAGCATCTAATATTTTGTATTCATTCCAGAACTGTTTTACAGCAATGGAATCTTTATCATTCTTAAAAAATAATTCAATGAAATTGACTTTCTTAATTAGTTGCATTATATGCTTGACAAACTGAACAAGACTCAAGGTCTATCACTTGGTCTGGCTCAAAAGACCAACCAAATGTGTCCAGCAATAGATTGAGGCGTCCTACCAAGACACCTTCATGAAATGAAAGTGATCAAGGCTTGTCAGCAGTACTGTTGATGAACTGAACAAGATTCAAGGTCTATCACTTGGTCTGGCTCAAAAGACCAACCAAATGTGTCCAGCAATAGATCGAGGCGTCCTACCAAGACACCTTCATGAAATGAAAGCGATCAAGGCTCATCAACAGATTCCAAACATGTTTCATATCATAATAATTAAAAAAAAATATAACCTTAAAATTAAATATTAAATTTTGAGCTTTTTTCTTTGTTGATTCCACATATATCAGAATTAGCAATAGCCTCAATAAGACTCTTCCAGATACCATGTTCAACCTTCTTGTTAAAAAGATTTGAATGACGTGACTTCCACCTCAAGAAGCTTACCAGTGACCATTCCGATTCTTCCACCTCCTTGAAATACGTTTCCTTTTCAACAATTGGAAGTTTTCATGTTTAATAACACAAAAATAAACAATCAGCATGATACAACGCTTAACACATAAAACTAAACAATCACGTTATTATCCATTATAACTATAGATGTCAAAATATTATGCTATATATATATAATTAAAAAAAAATTTCAAAATGTAATACTTTTTTTTAATTAATTATTATTATGAATTCACAAGCACGTTCATTTGTTATTGTATATGATTGACAAAACATTTTTTTTACAACAGCTGTGCAAGAAGAAGTAACGCGTGTTACAAGAATAAGGAAGTCAAGTGACTTCGTATATTTTTTATTTATTATTATATTATTTGATTTGTAATATGGTTATAATACTGCTTCAAACTCTAAATCATGTTTGAACTTGAAATCATGTTTGGA